ATAAAAAACTGAAACCTGAGGCCAAAAAAATGGGTCTGCTATTTATCAGAAATAATAATTTAATTGGATAAAATTAAACTTTAGACTTGGATCTAAACTTTAGACCGAAGAGCAAAAAAGGGCAAAAAAACGAGAAAAAAAAAAACAACTTTTATGTGACTGCTTCTAGTAATCTTTTGGAACTTGCAGCTCCATGGATGTAATTCTCAATCCGGAGCTAACGTCCATTCCAATAGAATTTAGATTAGGAAAATATGCAGGAATCCCCAAATGAAGAGTAATATTATTCTTGAAAAAAAAAGTGATATTTGAAGATCCGTTATTCCATTGAAGGAAAAAGTTCCCAGATCATGACAGAGCTTCCTCTGATGTTCCACATTTTATAATTGTCGGGGTGGAGTCCGATTTTTTCTGAACACCATTGGAAACATTTTGGTGTTATTCTGCTTAACGTTTCTTATTATTCAAACCTTTAAGGTCTTTCAAAACATTTCAAATAACTGTCTTACTGCATCCGACCCCGGCAGCGATGGCGCCGTGCAAGACAACTTGTTTGTACAGCTCAATAACCCTGCTTTGTTGAAAAACAGAAAGCCTTTTTGCCTTTGCCATCGGGGGGTTCATGAAAGTTTGAATGTCTGACAGAAAAAAAAAATGAAAACAAAAAAACACAACTGATCTTTCAGGGCTAAGACAGCCTTTGTGAGTTAAAAGCAGTTTTTCAACAGCCTGTCTTTTCTCTCTCAGCAGTTTGAAAGCTGGTTATAATCAAACACCACAAAATTAAGACATTTCCAACTTCTATCACTGATTTCTAAATGTGTCTGGGTGAAAACTGAGTTCTTTTTTATTATCATTGTTAGAAATATTTTATTTATACTCCGTTTGTGTTTCATGGGTTGTGTTCTAATGAACTATTATGATGGATAATGTGTGATTCATCTTTTATTAACTCTTGCTTAAAGGAATAGTACACCCAAAACATGATTAGCCTTCATTTTCTACTCACCCCCATGCTGAACAA